TTGCGAGACGGAATCTTGCGGTGACCGGACATCTGGGATTATGCGGCCGCGCCAGAACCTTACATGGTGCGTAGTTTCCATTTACGTATCCGTACCGCTCCTGCGCTTCGTAGCGGTGGAAAATGACCGACAAAAGACATGTGCGATGGAAGAAAAAACCGGGGCATAGTGGAGGAAGGAGAAGGAGCACGGATGGCCCCATATTACTTCGTCCCCTCCTTCCCAATTGTCCCTCGTGCAAAACCGAACCCCAGACTGGCTGGTTGGTGCACGCGCTCGACGCTCGAGAGGGAAGGAGCAATGCCAATAACAATAACCTTAGGTGCAGTGCAGTACGGTACATTTCTGTACGCCTGCCTACCTATACTATCTATGAGACGGGACCCGGGTCACGAGCATGACGCTAAGGAAGAGGCCGAAGAGTCTCTCTCTCTCTCGTTCCCTCTGTCGCCCCGTCCCGCCCTCTCTTTCTGTGCTTCTCACCAAGCAGCCAGCCGATTCTTATTTTGGCGGTAACATTGGCATGGTGGCTTGATTACTCGGTAGTATGTAACCAACTCTCATGTCGCTCGCGGTTCTGTCCGCTCTTTCGGTATTTTTTCTTTTCTTTTTCCAACGAGGCCACCTCGCCATTGGGCTACCTCTCCGCCATCTAATCACTATGCAAAGTGTACTTGGTTGGCTTCGCCTCGCATCGACAAGGCAATTCAATTCCAGCTTTTTCAGTGGGACAGGCCGGGGGTCGAAGCTACACAAGTGTACGGGTACATACCGGTACACGTGTAGTAGACAAATCGCCCCCTTTGCTTCTGCCCTGTCTGTGCCACCGTTCTGCATCTCACCGATGGCCGTGCACAACGTTCCTGGTCTTGGTCTCTCCGAGGCCCACCCTCTGGAATGCTTCTGGAAGACGTGGACGCACCTCGTCACATCCTGGCAAAGGCCTGCCACTGGCGCTTCAACTGGGTCTTTGCTTGTGCATCAACCATAACGTAGTATCCATCCGACAGGGGGGTTCTGCGTGCGTCAGTCTTGTCAGGGGGGTCTGCGTGCGGATGCGTCGAGTTTTGGCCCCCTACCAAGTACAGTACCTACCTACCCTCTAGGAAGTGCTATGCTATAGTAGTAGGTGAGGTTCGGGCAACAGACTTTCAGAGAAGAAATACGCGTGTAAGTGTAAGCTAAACCGGGTGGAGCTCATTGGGCTCTCGTCTTGGGCTCCACGGCCCGGAACATACTGTACACTATGTACACTACGGATACGGATAGTATATTGGAACTGGGAAAACCCAAGTACTGTCCAAGTCCCTGATCATCCCTGATGATATCTGAACATCCGGCGGAGCACCACTTGGGGCCGGAAATACTGCCTAGTCCATGTATATAATCCGGCGTTGCTGATTTCATGACTGCCCAAGTGCCCGCAAAATGCTCCGAGCCTAGTGGTGTGTTATCGGAACGTCGGTCTCGAACTACCTTGAGGATCACCACTCCGGATGCCGGAACGCTTGGCCCTGTCCTGTGCCCAAACTCAGTGTCGTGTAATGCCTGGAGTGAGTGTTTCTGATGGTTCACGAAAAAGCGAACGATTCCGCCCATTGCCCATGTTGCGGGACCATCGCAGCAGAACGGCGGCCATGGTAGGTAGTATGGGCCTATACTCGGTAATCTGTCTGCATACATGCTGGTAGCATTAGCTTCTCCGCCGACTAACGATCAACCACTCGCATCTTCGGCCGTCTCTCGTAGCTTGCGACCCTTCCTCCGCCCCGAACCTCTTTTCGAAGCTAGCGCACCGCTACGGAACAACTGTTTACCTACAAAGAATTCAATCGTCTCCATCCAAACATGCCGGTTCCCACCCACCCCCTCTCCTAGCAAGGCTTCAGCCGCCCCCACAGGCACGCGGCGACGAGACAAGCCCGAAGACAACAATGAGACGTGGGCCTGCCTGCCTTGTCGCCAGGACGGATCCTCCGAGTCAACAGCCTAGCCCCGTATCGTCCCACGACGTCGTTCCCCAGGCCCCCCCCCCCCCCCCCCCCCCCC